CTCCCCCTGCTTGTGTTCCCTCGCTCGCTATGTCTCTCTCTGTCAAATAAATAAATAAAATCTTAAAAAAAAAAAAAAAAGAAAAGAAATCTTCAACCAGCTTGAGGATGTCCTGGGGGAATAGAAAGCAAAGCATGTTATATAAAAGAAAATCAGAAACCTCATCTGAATTGACCTTTCTTTTCCACATTGCATGCATTCTATCATTTAGGAATTTATTAATTTTCATTCTCTTAACAAAAGGAACCACCTCAAATTTAAGACTGACCTAAAAACTACAGTTGACTCATACTTAGGAGTTTTTATGATCCTTAGTGAAAGAGGTGATGCTCTTGATCCATTTGTTTCTTAAGGGGCATCAGTATTTTCAATTTTTAGTAATAATAATTCTTGCCTCACCACATGTATTCACAGCTGGACAACGCTTCACTCTTTTTTTTTATTTTTGTATAGTTCATTAATAGTGTTATCACGGATCCATTTATAATACTAAATCTAAATCGATAAAACCAAGGCAAAAGGATGACCCTTATATATTCCCAGTATCTTTCTAAAATAGCATGTCCACAAGACGGATCTGACTAATGCCGTATCGTGTTGGACCTCAGAATCCCAGGCACATATTATTCACCATCCAGATACATATGCTACCAGTTGCCACCAAAGGTTCAAGTTTGGGTCTCTTTTTCTTCATTCATTTCTACACTTATCAAATAAATCGTTAATCCATTAATAGTCATAAAATAAATACATGATTCACAAAATCCAAGAAGATCCTTTCAGATCTCTAAAATCCCTTTATAGAATCATTCCCCACAGAGACTGATTCTGTTTCAGTAATCGACCTCTATATTGCCATTATTGGTTAATCAACACCATGGCTGATACCATATTTCTCACTGGGACATAGTTAACTTCTTAAAATTATGTTTCATACTTTTTAATAATTCAATGAATACCTTTAAACAAATGACCCAATCTAAGATGACAACTTTGACCATTACTCACCTTGCTCTCTTTCCAACACAGAAGCAACAAGACCATCTTGACCACGGCCAATCAGCTTGGAGTTCCATTCTGAAGAGTACCAATTAGAAAAGGTGACAAAAAGATTAAGACATTCTCTCCGTTGATCCAAACTTTCCACCCTTCGTATATGTAGACATTAAGGTATTTACTAATGTATAGTAATATTTATTTGCCCGTCATAAAATAAACATCAAACTTTCAAGTTTCTCAGTTTAATAATTGAGTTTTTAAAATAAAGATCTCTCATTTTTTGAGATAAAATAAGTCTTTTAAAGTTAACAAATTAGTAACATTCAATATTTTCACAATATTGTGAAACTACTATTTCTATGTAGTTTCAAACTACTTTCATCACTCCAAAATAAAATCCCATACTCATTACGCAGTCTTTCCCTACTCCTCCTGCCTCCAGCCCCGGGCAACTACCAATCTTTATTCTCTCTCTGTGGATTTATCTACATTGGATATTTTGTATAAATGGAGTCAGGCATGATGTGACCTTTTCTGTCTGCCTTCTTTCACTTAGCACAATGTTTTCAAGGCACATCTGCATCGCAGCACAGATGACTACTTCATTCCTTTGCAGCCACTCTGGAAAACAGTATGGAGGTTCTTCAAAAAGTTAAAAATAGAGCTACCCTACAACCCAGCAATTGCACTACTGGGTATTTATCCAAAGGATACAAACGTAGTGATTCGAAGGGGCACCTGCATCCCAATGTTTATAGCAGCAATGTCCACAATAGCCAAACTATGGAAAGAGCTCAGATGTCCATCGACAGATGAATGGATAAAGAAGACGGGTGTATATATACAATGGAATAATACTCAGCCATCAAAAAATAAATCTCGGGGGCGCCTGGGTGGCTCAGTTGGTTAAGCGACTGCCTTCGGCTCAGGTCATGATCCTGGAGTCCTGGGATCGAGTCCCGCATCGGGCTCCC